CCCCCCATTTCCTCCCCCCGAGCGACCCTCCGGAAACCCAGGAGTCCCCCCCCCCCCCCCCCGCGCCCCCGTCTGGCCCCCATGTCTCCCAGCTCTGGTTCCTGACGGACCGCGCATCTGGACGACTACCCGCAAGTGCAGATCCTGCACGCCCTCCAGAGCGCTGCTCGGAGCGGGACGTGCCTTCCGGGCGGTGTTCATGGACCAGATCGCCGTCACCGTCATCGGCGGCCACCTCGGTGAGTGCGGCGGACCCCGGGAGAGCGGGGAGGCGCGCAGGGGTCCCGAGAGCCGGCCGGTGGGCGCGCGCCCCGGGCCTCCCCCAGGCAAGTCTCCTTCGGGCCCCCGAAACCGGCCGCTGTCCCCAGCTAGACCTCTTGGGGTTGGAGCTAGCTCCTAACCTTGAGAGCTTCTTTTCACCACCACCATCGGCCCTGAGGCCAAGATTTGAGGGCGGGAGTTAATTTACTACTTAGGGTACTTTGTTTTAGGAGGAACTCGAATTTACCTGAAGCCGTTTGGAGGAGAATCAAGCTGCCAATCCCAAATCTGCAAATTCTGCTTGCATCAGTATCCTGTCAGTTTAGATTTATAGAAACCCACGTTAAATTTACAAAATTGCCATTAACATGAGTGTTTTAAAAGTTTTCCAAGAGTGTGTCAGCGTCAATAACGCACTACATAGAATATCATTCCCAAAGTAGGAACCTACATATGGGGAGAAATCTGAGAAAGATTGGAGTCACCTCTTGAATGTGAAGTGGGAGAGTAGATCGTTGATGGGTTGTCTTTAAATTCATCCTCTACCCTCAAAAAAAACGTTGGATCTGATTCCAGAAAAGCCAAGATGCCAGGTACAGACCATTCTGGTCTCACTGGTTTCTCCACTGCTGTGTCCAAGAGATTTCTCTGGTAAGATATGGTTATTATCTGTGGCCCTGACCTCAAAAGGTTAATAATGTTTTTAGGTATTTTTAATTATTCTTAATGCCAGCACTCTGATTTAGGAATCTATGGATTAGGAACTTTCGCCCTGGGTGCAACCACTTCAGGGGGTGTAGGACTCAAAGGGATTTGGGCCCTATTTGAGGGTGCTTCTTGGGATACCTTTCGTATGATTTCAACCATACTTGTTTAAATAAGCTCATAAGTTGTTACTTCTCTTTGGTGGGGGAAAGGGATTCCATATTCTGAACTGGCTACTTACAAATGATATTTTGAATATGACCTGTTTCTTAGTGGAATGTATCTGTTCTAGATGTTTCATCCAAAACTGTATCTAAATCCCTGATAAGTAGTATCGGATTGTATAGCCTATTGGAGAAATATACTACAAACATTAGATGTCTCACATTTAGTCTAAAACAGTGTCTGTCAACCATAAAGAGTACCATCTCTCTCTCTCCTTGACTTGCTAAAGCTCCCAGTTAATGTAGAACTAAATTACAGGGAATCTGCAGACCTGGGTTCTTATTACAGTTTTGCTGCTAACAAGTATCCTGGCTTTGCCTTGACCAAGTCACTTTATGCCTTTGAATCTCAGGTTTCTAGTTTATAAAATTAAGGGCTAAGATTCCCCCAGCACTAAAATTCTGTGTCAGTACCATACTTACATGGGATAATCTGTTATTTTTACTGATCTAGACCCAGGGTTGCTTTGCTTGCTCTTCATTTTATTTATTTACAACTTGTAATGATGTCTTTTTTAGATACAGTAACCAGAATTCCACATGTTCCTGTTATAGACCCATCACACATGCTGTGAAAGAGTGGGGAAATGTTCTCTGTTTTTTATCTAAACCCCCATTTTAAAGAATGAGCCCTAGAAAAAGAGAAAATTAAATCCTGGAGCTGCAGAAAGCATTTAAACCCTTTTGTTTACTAAACACAATTTTACTGAAGTCCATGTGTCTCTCAATCAATTAATGAACCAGGAGTTATTACTTTTTAAAGTACAACACAATCTATATGGTTATTTGCCTGGTCAATGGAGAAATTGAAAACAGCTATTTTTGATGCTTTTTTTTTTGCTAGTTCAGATAGCCACACACATATCGCAAACACAGAAAGCAAACTTCCTAGATCATTGTCTCTGCCATCTAAAGCATCAAAAGGTTTATTTGTTGGGTGGATTAATTAAAGCACAAGAAAGTGAGTTCCCTGAGAAGAGAGAGCTCATTTGTTTTGTTCTCGCCATCCTCTGTAATAGCGACAAGAATAAGTGCTTCGTACGTAATAGGCACGCCAACATTTTGAATAACTAAAGATGATGGGCTCTATTTCCCAGTTTCTTCTGTATTCAAACTATAGAAAACTCTTGGCAATTTGATAAGCCAAAATATCCCTCTGGGGAAAAAAAAAACACCTCTAGAATGTACTGGCTCTGAAATGTAGAAACAGGTAGTCATAATGATATGGATGCTTTGCCCATTTGAGGATTACAGAATGTGGGAGCTGGTGAGGACTTTGAGATCAACCCTTCAGTCCCACCCCTTCAGTTTACAAATGAAGAACCTGCTGCTCAAAGAGATGACAGGAGTCGCTCAGTGTCATCTGGCTAGTTAGCAGCAAACCCACGGTTAAAAACTTGATGTCCTCATTCCAAGTCCCGTGATGTGGGATAAGTATGCTTTGGGACATCTGCAGCCTATAGTCCTTTGCTCAGTAGATGTGGACGTGAACAAATTGAATTAAATTGAGGCTGGGTAGTGACTTTACAAAGTAATTTTATAGTTTAGGAAGTTAAGGTCCCATCTTTACAAGTCTTCATACCTTCATCCTCTCCATTCCTTCTTGAGAACATTTCCCCAAGGTGAAAGAGTGGATGGAGGAGTCAGTGCCTCAGGCAGTTGCTTAAATCCTCTCCTGAGCTTCCATCGGTGGAGGCTCAAATCCAGAGAAAGAATTTCAGGTTGTATCTGGAAATAGGATTCAGACAAGAGATGAAAAGTTTTGGATTTAAAGACTATAGTTATTTTTAAGCTAATACAAGTAAACTGAAAATGCTATGCAAATGCAAGGTTTTGTGATTATTTTTAACCCAGTGATCTCCACTCCCCAGCACAGATTTGGGTGGGGAGACTGCAGGAAAAAGTGGAATGACCTTCAGGTGACTGAAGCAGTCCCATAGAAAACACCTGCCCTTCACCTTTCTGCTGGATATAGCATCATGAGAATCACATCCATCTTCATTTCCTTCTTAGAAACCTCAGGTTCTTCATTCATTCATTCAACTAGTATTTATTAATTATTCTCATCCCTGGGAATGAGATGGTGGTGAATTTGGCACCAAAATGCGCATAGTAATAGCCAAAGCAAAATATACGTAGTGTTTAGTGTGTGCCAGGCACAGCTGTAGGTCCTTTTTACACATTAACTCTTATAAACATCAATAAGGGTATCCAGGTTGGCAGTAAGGACTGATACTCAGTAATTCTGGTCTCAACAGAACCAGAATATCTGTTTCCTCTCATCCATTCCACACCTGTCCCCCGCGCCCCTGCCCCCATCAGCCTACACTGACTTCATCCCACCCCTTGCATTGAAATTTGCTGTGCCTGAGATGCCCGTCTAGTCCAGGTCCTCCACATGGTAAACTCTATTCCTCTTATATCCAGCTCAAATCACTCATCTCTGTAAAGTCTTTCTTGAACTTTCTACCTGCCCAAGCAGTTTCTCTCTCCATCTGCTGCCAAATAGCACTGTACATACCTTTTAAAATAGCATTCATCATATTTTATTATAACATCTATTTACAAAGTTTATATTCTCTTTCCCACTAAATGGTTGGGGATTCCTCATATTATGCTCTATAATAGTCCACAGTAGGCCTTCAGTTAATGTTTGTTGGATGACTGAGTGAGGTGCCTTTTAAAGGCTAATTTAAAGTATATGAGACTTTTACTGTAATTAGCTTTTGTGTTTGGGAGATCATGAGTGGATGTGTAAATTTTTGTAAGTGTTTTTATGATGAGCCATTATATGAGGACAGAGTCATTAGTGCAAATTAAGGTCTTTGACCACCCACAGGTTTTTACGATTAACTGTCCCCCAAAAAACAAGTATAGCCACAAACTCAGGGACAGATACCAAGACAGAAAAAAATAAGCTTGACCTGAAATCAGGGTGTGTTATAATTTGTCTCTTAGGAGCAGAATGATTCAGCATTCCTTCCCTTACTCTCAGAGCTAAAACCTCGTGGCCATATGGCAATTTCTAGGTCAGGTTCTTTAAATTAAGGTACTCTGAGATACTTTTACTTGGTTCCTTGTTTTAATCAGGTAAGTAAGATTTAAAAGGTTTGGGTCAAGGGGAATCCTAACTACAGTGGGGCCTTAACTTATTAATTCCTTCCGAGACCGAGCTCGTTAAGGAGCTCGTTAACTCAAATTACTCTATCAACTCAATGCAAAAAATCTGCCGGAGAGACAGCTGGTATCTCAAAAAACTCGTTAGT